AATAACTTTAAAGAGAAATTCTGTACAAGCTTACTCAGATATGAGCCCATCTGAGTTCAATAGACTAAACCAGGGGTGGGGAATCTTGGCTCTTTTATGATTTGTGGACTTCAACTCCCAGAATTCCTGGCTCTGTGCCATATATGTCAGGGATCTTCAAACTTGGCCCTTTCATGACTGGTGGGCTTCAACTCCCAGAATTCCTCAGCCAGCATGGGGGAACTATGGCCCCTTCATAACTTGCGGACTTCAACTCCCAGAATTCCTCAGCCAGCATGGGGGAACTATGGCCCCTTCATGACTTATGGACTTCAACTCCCAGAATTCCTCAGCCAGCATGGGGGAACTATGGCCCCTTCATGACTTACGGACTCCAACTCCCAGAATTCCTCAGCCAGCATGGGGGAACTATGGGCCCTTCATGATCTACGGACTTCAACTCCCAGAATTCCTCAGCCAGCATGGGGGAACTATGGGCCCTTCATGACGTACAGACTTCAACTCCCAGAATTCCTCAGCCAGCATGCCTGGCTGAGGAATTCTGGGAGTTGAAGTCCACAAGTCATAAAAGGGCCAAGTTTGAAGACCCCTGGTATATGTAATAGCAGATATGTGTGCATTGGGAAAATAATATTAGCTGTAAAAATTAGGATTAAATACAGGTAGTCCTCCATTTACGACCACAATTGACCCCAAAATTTCTGTTGCTAAGCAAGACGTTTGCTAAGTGCGTTTGGCCCCATTTATGACTTTCCTTGCCACCATTGCTAAATGAATCACCGCAGTTGTTAAATTAGTGAGACAGTTGTGAAGTGAATCTGGCTTCGCCCCAATGACTTTGCTTGTCAGAAAGTCGCAAAAGGGGATCACATGATCCCGGGACACTGCAACCGTCCTAAGTACATGCCAGTTGCCAAGCGTCCAAAATTTCGATCACGTGATGGTCGTTAAGTGTGAAAACTGGTCCTAAGTCCCTTTTTTCAATGGCGTAACTTCGAACGGTCATTAAATGAATTGTTGTAAGTTGAGGACGACCTGTATATGATACCAGGTGAACTACCTGCCTCCAGAAGCGATGAATGTTCCAATACTGGAAGTTTTTAAGAAGAGACTGGACAGCCATTTGTCTGAAATGGTATAGGATTTCCTGCCTGAGCAGGGGGTTGGACTAGATGATCTCCAAGGTCCCTTCCAACTTATTATTATTAGTATTATTATTAGTATTATTATTAGTATTATTATTAGTATTAGTATTATTAGTATTAGTATTATTAGTATTATTATATAAATGCAATCGTGCAGTTACAAATCTTGAGGCTTGGCTGACCTTTAGCCCTGAGAAAGCTCAACTTTGCCTATTTAGGCAAGTGAGTCATGATCACACCGAGAAGATGTTGTTTCACATAGTTCAGAGACACCCCCCCCAAGGCCACCAGGGACCCCCTACCATAATCAGCTGATAGCCAAAACACACAGAGAAGCCCCCAGGTTAATCCCAGGTAACACAAAACAGATAAAACATTATTTCAAACGAAGGCAGCTCCTGGCGACTTTGTGAGCCCAGCCACCTAATGAATTCAGAAAATCTGTGGTTGCTTTTTAATGCAATTTTTTTAAAATTCCCAGTCAGTGCCACAGCCATGGGATCACTAGGTGATGTTCCATCCCAATTTTGAAGAGAGACCAAAAAAAATCAAAAGTCATGTAAGTCCAGCTTGAATTCTGGGCCCAGATTGTTCTGTCCATCCTTTATGCCAGTGGTGGTGAACCTATGGCACGGGTGCCAGAGGTGGCACGCAGAGCCCTCTCTGTGGGCACACACACTGTCGCCCCAGTCCTAGGCCTTGAGCTGGGTTTTATAAAACCTTTTCGCTTTAGGCCTCCGCCGCCATGTGCAAAAAAATCAATCAGTCAATTTCAACTTCTCGCGGGAAAAAAAGGATCTTGCAAAGTTGGAATTGATTGAATGAACTTTTTAGTCCCACCCAGTCTGCCGTTACCACCGCAGCGACGCCCACCCAATGGGCCACGCCCACCCAATGGGCCACACCCACCCGGCACCCGAAGATGCATAAGTGGGTTTTGGGTTGCAGTTTGGGCACTCGGTCTCTAAAAGGTTCTCCATCACTGCGTCTATGCCTTTTTTCCCCCTCATCTTTTCAAGCCTCATTTCAAAGGCTTTAATAGTTACTTTTAGATTGTTCTCGCTATGAATTATGTTGGGTCTGGTTGCATTTTAACAACAGGGTAATTTTTTATCCCCTCGCTGGTACTTTTAATGAGACATTTTGAACTCAAGGCATCCCCAAATTCAGGGCCACCTAACTATTTTTGTGCTGAATAAAAACTAGCAAGTATGATTGGTGGTGACGGGTCAGTAGAATCTGGCAAACCTAGTTTGGGTTCAGGGTCTGCACAAGGTTGGGCCCTGTAAATGCTTGGAAGAGAGACCACCAGGAGATCCTAGGGCTGTAGGCTAAAAGCATCTAGTAGAGTAATAATAATAATAATAATAATAATAATAATAATAATAATAATAATAATAATAATAATAATAATAGTAAAGTTGGAAGGGACCTTGAAGGTCATCTAGTCCAACCCCCTGCTCAGGCAGGAAACCCTATACCATTTCAGACAAACGGCTGTCCAGTCTCTTCTTAAAAACCTCCAGTGTTGGAGCATTCACCGCTTCTGGAGGCAGGTTGTTCCACAGGTTAATTGTTCTCACTGTCAGGAAGTTTCTCCTTAGTTTTAGGTTGCTTCTCTCCTTGATTAGTTCCCCCCGTTGCTTCTTGTCCGGCCTTCGGGTGCTTTGGAGAATAGCTTGACTCCCTCTTCTCTATGGCAGCCCCTTCATCTCCCAGAGTTCCCCAGGCAGCAGCTATGGACTTCAACTCCCAGAGTTCCCCAACCAATGCTGAGTGAACTTTCAAGAATTGGGAAGAGAAACAAGATACAAGGGGATGAAAAACAGCAGATCCTGGACACTATTCCCACAGTTATGCTGCCCCAATAATGGTATGCCACATATTCTCCATTGCAGGTGGTCCTCAGACTTACAACTGTTCATTTAGTGACTGTTCGAAGTTACAACGGCACTGAAAAAAAGTGACTTAGGCCCGTTTTTCACACTTACAACCGACCACTGCAGTATCTCCATGGTCACACGATCAAAATTCAGACGCTTGGAAAACTGGCTCGTATTTACGACAGGTTGCATGGTCCCGTGACCCCCTTTGGCGACCTTCTGAACAAGCAAGAGTCAGTGGGGAGACTGGATTCACTTAACAACCGTGTGACTACGGTTGTAGGCAACCTTGGGTCTTTTGTGACTGGTGGACTTCAACTCCCAGAATTCCTGAGGCAGCATGGCTCAGCTTGGAAGCCTCTCCCTTTCCCCTCAGCATGGCTGGCTCAGGAATTCTGGGAGTTGAAGTCCACCAGTCACAAAAGAGCTGAGGTTGCCTACCCCTGCGTACAGGTAAACAACTTTGCTTCTGTTGCCAAGAAAACAGCAAGCTACAAAACGCAACAATGCTGCAGAAGAACATTGCAACAGATTAACCTCAGATGTGAATCATTTTCTAGGAAATTGATTATATTATTATTATTATTTTATTACTACTACTACTACTACTACTACTACTACTATTATTATTTACTGGAAACTAATTCTGTAGTGACTGATCCATTCCGACGTCTTGCAAACAAACCACAAAAGGAATCGTGTAAAAAGGTGGTGTCATTAAAAACTGGCTACTTCCGGGTAAACCTGCCTCTGCCTAACATTTGTATCCCGTGTCTTATTTTATTTTATTTTATTTTATTTCCCAAACCTTATGAAGCCCACCTGAGAGATAAAACTCTATTTATTTCATTTAAAAATCACCTCCGACTTGGCTTAAGGCAGGGGGGGGTCTTCAAGCTTGGCCCTTTTATGACTTGTGGACTTCAACTCCCAGAATTCCTCAGCCAGCGTGCCTGGCTGAGGAATTCTGGGAGTTGAAGTCCGCGAGTCATGAAGGGGCCATAGTTCCCCCATGCTGGCTGAGGAATTCTGGGAGTTGAAGTCCGCGAGTCATGAAGGGGCCATAGTTCCCCCATGCTGGCTGAGGAATTCTGGGAGTTGAAGTCCACGAGTCATGAAGGGGCCATAGTTCCCCATGCTGGCTGAGGAATTCTGGGAGTTGAAGTCCACGAGTCATGAAGGGG